TTTTTTTTTTTTTTTTCGTGCATTCTGTGCTAATTACTCTTGTCAGACTAATTACTTGTATTTGATGTGGTGGTATAAATTCAAGGATCTAAATATATGTAAATATATGTGGTATACATCTCTCTTCATGCACTTTTAAATCACATTTTTTTTTAGGTTGTTTAATTGTTAAGCATATATACTTTATGTAAAAATATGCATATTTGCACAATAAAGTGTTATACACTTATGCTTGTGTTTATATTGTATTTTAAACTATAATATTTAATTAAGATAATATGAACAGTTGTTGAAACTTGAAAGACTATGATTGTCTAATATATTTAAAACAATACTCCTCTTTTTATTTATTCTTATGATGAAAAATAATCAAACTTTTTGAAAAATTAACTCTTGATGGGATAATCAAGTAATCAACAAGTGATTCCAGATTCACAAATTCTTGTGGGAGACAACTAACGGTTAGAACGAAATACTTATTTTCGTTCTAAATACTTATTATTCGATAATTAAATATCATATTTTCGTTTATATTATTTTTGAACAGCGTCACTTGTGTGCGAAAAGTATTTGACCTAACTCTAGCTAAATAAATCATTCACATTCTTAGTTATCTCCCATTAGATTTGTACACCAAAATACACATAACTTATATATGCCCATATTTTCAAAAATATGTACAAATTATCTGTAATTTTGACTTGCAATAATTTTATGATCTGTAAAAAAAAAGGTTAATTTGTTGCAGTGCAAAGCCCAATGAGTAAAGATCCTTTAAAACTAGTAATTGCATGGGAAAAACACCATCATTAAAGCAGAGGAAATCTAAATATTGCTGTGCAAGCAACTAAAAAGATCTATCTTTAATTTCCTCATTGCATTTTTATTCCTTTTTAATTAAATTTTAGTAAATTTTTTTCACTTTTTTTGTTCCCCACAACTTTTGCTTGCAAGTTTGGTCAAAGTCATGGTGTTAGCATCATTTGAAAATCAAATCCTACACGAAATATCACATTATATGGTCTTCAACTCTCGAGTGGCCTAACTCTACATTATTATAATTACTAATGCTTTGAGTAGTAAACCCCATCAAGAATCTTCACACACACATCTGAACCGAACTAGACCGAAATGAATATAACCGGTTTAGTCCGATAATTTATGTACCATCAATGATATGGTCCGAGATCGGTGTCTCCGGTCTT